GACCTGATGATGTCGACAGACAGCCGGCCAGGTGCGGCAGCGAGAGAGGCAAGTGGAGATCTTCACTCCGCGCTTGGTAGATCATCGGCAAAGGACGCGGTAGCGCCCTTGACGGCTTCCAAGGCGATGGCGAAAAAGCCTGAAGGGAGTGAGGTCAGGCTGCAATCGGCAGAGCGAGCTGCTGCGAGCCCGACGGAGGTGGATGATGTCACCCGATAGGGTGCTAAATCGGCAGGTCAGGGATTTCATCAGAAATGGCGAGAACGCTTCAGCGCTGGAGGTTCTCAACCAGATCGTGGCGAACTCTCGCCTCGGGCGGACGCGTCGGGATTCGGATGTTTCCCGCACTCCCTCTCGGAGGTCCGTTAGGACCCTACCAGGGATTCCCGAGAATCGAGAAGGCGCAGATATCGACCGCGGCGTGACGAAGATCGAGACCGAAGAAGGGACGATGTTCGAGATCGTCGTGGTGATGATTCACTCGATCGAGAGCGAGATCGAAGGCGAGATGATCGCAGGAGATCCGAGAGGGATCGTGACAGGGACCGTGCGCGGGGCGGACGTGACCGGAGGAGACGTGACGATAGCCGATAGGCTGAGTCACGGGGATTGCGGCCGATAGGCTTGCGTCCTTTCTCCGATGGTTGGCGCGGCGCGGAGGTGATGATGTTCCTTCCGAACCGCTGAGGCGCGGAGATCATGTCTCTCCCGCAGCCCGGTCTGCACGGAGTACAGCCGAGCTCTGACGATGCGCCCTCGACGACTCGAGGAGGGCGACGCGCTGGTGCTCAGAGCCCTTGAGATCATGGCGCACTTCGACCCGCTCATGTGGGTCATAGAGAATCCGGCCACCGGGCTGCTGAAGACCCGCCCGTTCATGGAGCGCCTACCCTGGGTGGACGTTACCTACTGCAAGTACGGGACTCCGTACAGGAAGCAGACCCGGCTGTGGACCAACATGCGCTGGAGGCCGAGCCGAGGGCTGTGCAGGAGCGGCAGCCGGTGCGATGCGTGGGAAGACGGGAGGCATCTGAGGGGCGCTCAAGGGGGGCCTCGACTCATGGGGGGCCAGCGCGAGAGGGTCAGAGGGCAGTCGCGCGAGCTGCTTTACAGCATTCCTACGGCGCTGTGCGAGGAGATTGCGAGCGCGGCCACGGCAGAGCTTGCGGATCGGCTGAGCATCCCGGACTGAAGCGAGGAGCATTTCTTATAAGATTTTTTAATGACCCTAACGAGCTCATTTTTTTCCTAGCAGGCATGCGCTCCGACGGCGGCCAATAAGCCGCCCCACGTGGCATAGCGCCACTGCCCGAAGACTGCGCCTCCGCACTTTGGGCAGGACTTGCAGCTGACGCGGCACCCATCTATCTCCCGCGTCACTCTCAGCAGGAGCGGGTTGCCCCACAGCTGCAGCTCCTCCAAAGTGCGCGCGGCATCTTCGATCAGCAGCCGCGCGGCGTGCAGGCAGCGCATCAGCGGCTCGCTGCAGGGCTTCTCAGCGCAATCCAGCACCTGCGCAGCCGCGGCCAGGGTCAGCTCCAGGAAATCGCCCTTGGTGTCGGCGTTGAGGTGCCCAAGCGAGGGCTCGGGAGCCAGCCAGTCGAACGTCTGCGCCCAAAGATCGTCTCCGGGATCTCTGGTCATCACGCGGCATCCGTCCTTCGTGAGGTAGGACTCCAAAGCGCCGTAGGGGCAGGGGAATCCGAAGTCAAGTCCGCTGACTCGGATGCCCCCCGTGTAGGACAGGCTCTTCCTGTCTCTGCGAGGGTGCAGCAGCAGCGCCGAGAACAAGCCGCTCAGATCCAGCAGCTCGGAGATGCGCTCCACCGCTTCCAGCGCATCCGGAAGGGCGGCAGGCTGCTTGGCTGCCCACTCCTCCATGGTGACCAGCAGGCTCTCGGTCAATGCGTGCTGCATGGCGACGGTGCAAGCGCTTCGACCCATGCTCGATCCACTCAAACACTTCGGTCCATGCACGATCCGCTCAAACGCTTCGGTCCATGCGAACAAATAATTCCCTAGGGATGGTCTGGAGGCGACAAGATCCGTCTCGAGATTTTCGCGGAAGATCCGTCTCGAGGCGAAGGAAATTCTTTCCCCAGGGAGAGGCGCTCACCGGGCTGGAGGCGGAAAGATCCGTCTCTCCACAATGATCCGTCTCGGACCAGGATATGTTTTTTTAGATCCGTCTCTCCACAATGATCCGTCTCTCCACAATGATCCGTCTCGGACCAGGATATGTTTTTTTTAGATCCGTCTCTCCACAATGATCCGTCTCTCCACAATGATCCGTCTCGGACCAGGATATGTTTTTTTTTTATCCTCAGGAGAGGCGGTCACCGGGCTGGAGGCGGAAAGATCCGTCTCGGGTAATTTCCTACTCCTAGGAGAGGCGGTCACCGGGCTGGGGGTGGAAAGATCCGTCTCGGACCTTGGAATAAAAAGCCCTCTAGGTAGTGGCGCTCACCGGGCTGGCGGCGGAAAGGTCCGTCTCTCCACAATGATCCGTCTCGGGCCAGGGTAATTTCCTACTCTAAGGAGAGGCAGTCACCGGGCTGGAGGCGGGAAGATCCGTCTCGGACCTTGGAATAAAAAGCCCTCTAGGTAGTGGCGCTCACCGGGCTGGAGGCGGAAAGTTCCGTCTCGGACCTTGGAATAAAAAGCCCTCTAGGTAGTGGCGCTCACCGGGCTGGAGGTGGAAAGATCCGTCTCGGACCTTGGAATAAAAAGCCCTCTAGGTAGTGGCGCTCACCGGGCTGGAGGCGGAAAGGTCCGTCTCGGACCTTGGAAAAAAAGCCCTCTAGGTAGTGGCGGTCACCGGGCTGGAGGCGGAAAGATCCGTCTCGGGGAATTTCCTACTCCCAGGAGATGGAAAGATCCGTCTCGAAAATTTCTGTTCCCAGGAGAGGCGCTCACCGGCTGGAGGTGGGAAGATCCGTCTCGGACCTTGGATAGTTCACCGGCTGGTCCGTCTCGGACCTTGGTAAAAAAGGTGGAAAGATCCGTCTCGGACCTTGGGAATAAAAAGCCCTCTAGGTAGTGGCGCTCACCGGGCTGGAGGTGGAAAGATCCGTCTCGGACCTTGGAATAAAAAGCCCTCTAGGTAGTGGCGCTCACCGGGCTGGAGGCGGAAAGGTCCGTCTCGGACCTTGGAGTAAAAAGCCCTCTAGGTAGTGGCGGTCACCGGGCTGGAGGCGGAAAGATCCGTCTCGGGGAATTTCCTACTCCCAGGAGATGGAAAGATCCGTCTCGAAAATTTCTTGTTCCCAGGAGAGGCGCTCACCGGGCTGGAGGTGGGAAGATCCGTCTCGGACCTTGGGATAAAAGCCCCCTAGGTAGAGGCGGTCACCGGGCTGGAGGCGGAAAGATCCGTCTCGGACCTTGGAATAAAAAGCCCTCTAGGTAGTGGCGCTCACCGGGCTGGAGGTGGAAAGATCCGTCTCGGACCTTGGAATAAAAAGCCCTCTAGGTAGTGGCGCTGACCGGGCTGGAGGCGGAAAGATCCGTCTCAGGGAATTTCCTACTCCCAGGAGATGGAAAGATCCGTCTCGAAAATTTCTTGTTCCCAGGAGAGGCGCTCACCGGGCTGGAGGTGGAAAGATCCGTCTCGGACCTTGGAAGAAAAAGTTGTCTAGGTAGTGGCGCTCACCGGGCTGGAGGCGGAAAGGTCCGTCTCGGACCTTGGGATAAAAGCCCTCTAGGTAGTCAGGGATACCTCTTGCCGATAGGCGAGGGTACTGATGAACATTCGTTATCCTTTGTTTCATGGCTTCTGATAAGAATTGAACTACTTGCATTGTTGATGCAAACAGTTGTGACCTAGTGTCGTCATGTGGACTTTTCCACAAGGTATGTTGGACAGCGTTACCCCGATTAATTCGGGGTGGTGGCGGGAATTTAATGCCCGGGATGTCGCGCAACTGCCTTTGTGGGTTTGCTCCACCGCTGACGGCGGTAGTGTCCAGCTGTTTGCGGACGCATGCGAGCAGTTAAATCCTATCAGTAAATGGCACGCTCCACCCGTCATGTGACGGGCTCCTCGTGAGGGGGGTGTGATTAGCCATGGTTCATTTCATCATCAGGGATGTCGCGGTAGTGACTGACCTGTGATGTTTGGCTCAAGTTTGCGGGTCCGTCGCGCCTCGGATGAGCGTCGCCGGGTCCCCGCGTCGATCACCTTCGTGTCGGTGGAGAAAGAGACATCGGCCCGGGGCAGATTGGTGGGGTCCGCCCGTGCGGTTCATCGTCGACCAAGGTTGCGGGTACTTGTTTACTTGTTTTGGTATTTCCCTTTTGGTTGTTGTTCTCTGGTGTGTGGGAAACCCTGATCTTTGGGACCAATCCTTTCTTTGTGGCTTGTTTGCCCCAACTAACCCATTGCCTGGGCACAGGTTCGTGCCCGAATCACACTTTTCAATGAGCGAAGGCGCCTATACAGTTGCTGCCTAACAAGATGCTCATGTTGGTAAACCTCAACTACGTCGCGCAAATTGATTGCAGACACTCATCAACATCGTATCGCACTGCTTGAGTGTATGGTCTGTGATCACTCAAGCCATGTTCATCCATGTTCATCTTCTGCTCTTTTGTCGCGGAGAAGAGCAGATCAGGTATCCCTTATCAGGTCGTTTGGACTTGCAGATTTGGGGAACTGAATGCGTTGGCTCTTGATGAAACTAAACGAAAACGCAACCCCAACTTCCAAACCGCGGATCCAAGCCTGCAAGTGATACGGACAAGAGCCTGTTTGGAAAAGGCCACTATCCCAACATGGAAGTAGCTGAGCCGCACCGTGAACGTAGATTGCACAATTCCCTCTATGGGTGTTTTCTGTGTGCTACTCGCCAATTGAAGCAAGCTCGCCAATTAAAGCAAGCTCTTGCTCGCAAAAATACCACGATACTGGGAATGAGTTGTAAGCCAACCTCCCTTCAGTCCAGCACCTCACAACAAAACAAACCTCGGGCACTGCGCTTCGTCTTGCGCCCCGTTTCTCGCAGGCAGCAGGACCCCGAGGCTCGCACGTGTCATATGGCAGTGCAGCGTTTCGTTTGGTTAGATCACCTTGGGTAACTGATTGAATGAATCCATGGATGGTGATACTAGTTTGTAATTAATGTGATAAAGTGAAGGTTGCAACCCTGACAGGGAACTATGAGCTGGACGTCAACCAGCATGATGCAGGTGAAAAGATCATGCTGCATGATTACACACCTGTTATTCACGTTTGAGCAGCAAGCACGTTTTGGCACTAAAGATGTTGACACAAATGGAACTCAAGATTCAAGACTCTCAGGCCTCGATGTGTTTAAATCTTAAAATACAGTACTGCTCGAGGCCAAAGCGCTTTTAAAACGTAGTTGTTCATCACAAAAACACATTGTATACGGGCAACATGCAGGTAACATGCACTTGTCCTGGACAATGTTCTGCCGTTTAAGCGCCCTCCTTGTTCTACCTCACTCGTGACATGCTGTGAAGCGCTTGAGGGCGCCCTCTCACACATTGGACCCGAAATCAAGATGAACATACCTTCGCGGGTTTTGGGCACATCGTTGTCGAGGCTTGGAAGGGGAAACTGCAATTTAGAAATGATATCTTAGAAGTTGCGCACATATTGCATGCTCAAGCCTATCACATTTTAACAGGAAAGTTCTTTAGAAATGCATACTGTAAGCCATGCTGCACTGTTCAAAAGGAAGACGATGTTGCCACCATCAGTTGACCTTGACACTAGTGAGCAGTGCCATATTGAGGGCATTGCCTAGCCACTACCATTTGGTCATCATGCCACGGCAATTGCGCTCTACCCGTGGCGTTGTTTGCGTGTCCAAGATGAAAGTTGCGCCAACGCCACCGACCGAGTCGGTCGGAGGTAGTACAAAATACAGGTCACGTGCTCGAAAATCCGGGCGAGAGCTTGGGACACACTTGCGCTGCTTGAGTCACTTTTGGTGTTTGCATCAGGTCATTAAACTTAGTGTTTAGCATGGTTGCCCTTGTTATGTCTCTTCATCTCCTCTCTTCCGATCAGGGACCCCAATTTGCACGCGCGCTGGAGATGCTTCCAATTTGCCGGTAGCGTCGCGGTGATTCTCTGCGTCAGGCGCCGGACCTGCGGCAGTGGAGCCGCGGCTGGGCTGAGAAGGGACATGGCAGGGGCCAGGGCAACACGGTGACACGTTGTTCGTTTTTGCTTTCCTCAGTCCTATTTGCCTTTTCCTCCGTGTTTCCTTGTGGTTTATGGGCCCCACAAACTGTAGTTAGCAGGCCGGGGGCCCAAGAAACAAGGTCCCGCGGCATCGTTCCTGGCAGCACTTTGTTTGTTTTTGTTCGCGTGTTTTTGCTGTTTCCTTGTCATTTGTTTGTTTTGGTTTCTTTGTTGAAAGGGAATGAAAGCCAGTTGTGGGGGTCCCACATCTCAGTTAGAAAGCTCAAAAGGGTCGGACAGAAGGAAACTTCACCGTTCTTGGCATATATGTTGGGCTGCCTGGAGTCTTGAGTGTGTTGTGTGCTTCTTGGTTTGTTCATGCGCAATGTGGTGGCAAAGAAACAAAACCGGGAACCGCCCTAAGACAACGCGCGTCTTCCTGCTGAAGAGCCGCGAACTGGGTCCCTACTGCTTGGGCAAGGGATGTTCCAGTTTCAGGCGAGACTTTATTTTTTCCCAAGAGCTGTTCATTGCTGCTTGCCATGGACATGTCTCCAGAAGCGTTTCCAATATTCGGACAGCCCCTCTCCGATGTTAAAGCTGATCTCCAATAAGCAGCTCATGTTTGGGGGCCGTAACAAGTGGATGTTCCTGTTCCTGCAACTTTTGCGACAGGCTTGCCCACCCTTGCCATGCTAGGAACGCTAGGAAGCCCTTTTGCGCTGGGCCGGCGCAGCTTGTTGCTGGAAGCTGTTTTGGAATGGAGATGAGTGGGCGCGCCCCTCAGGTCTGGTTTCGCGTGAATCGCCAGCATCCCGAAAGCATCATCCCCAGCGTTGCCAGCGCGTGCCCATTTGGGCGCACAGGGCCGCAGGCCTTCGAAGACGCCCGTGATGGCCAGTGTTGCCGTAGAACACCTGATGGGTAAACCAGACACCGCTTGCATGTACTCGAACATCTGGTTTCGAATGTGTATCGCTTCGCGACAAGGCCTCGGATTGTGGAGACACAGGGCCAAGCGGGGTCGCCATCCAACATGGGAATGTGGCCTCGCTAGTGTCACAGGGTGCCGCGGCGTGAAGGACAACACGGCGGCAGGGGAGTGTGGCGTCACAGGGCAATGTGGCATCAGAGGATAACGCGGCGTCAGACGGAATTCGGCGTCACGGGGTCGCGTTGCGTCACAAAGGGAGCGTGGCGTAGTGCAAGCGAGCGATTTTTTAATGTAGCCTGGCTCAAAAGTCCTATTCCAGGTACAGGTTCCCAGTGGTTGTGTTTGTGTATCTGCTTTTACGTTATATACATATATAGGCCTGTCATCATGCACATTTACATTTTATCGATGTTCGGTCTGTTTCTCTGGGAGCCAAACCTAACGAGCCAAACGACGCTGCGCTGGGAAGATAAACTGACACTGCCTCTGAGGTCTGATTGAGGGCTGCGAAAGTTCGCACCCGAGGCGTGGAGTGCATCGGTTCGGTTTGTCACAAGTGGTTGGTTTCCTTTTGGTTTCCCCTTCCAACAGACAGAGGCCTTTTAAAGCACCCCCCAGCTGTTTGAATTGTGACAACCTCAAATGGGGAGCACTATGATTTGTTGTCGGACCCGCTTTTGTAACTGGGGTCGCTTGTATACAATGCTGTTGTCCTAATTCAGAATCCTGTGACTGTTTCGAGGTTCGCTTTGATAGCCAGTTTTTCCCGGAAGCAAATCAGGGTAAAACACACGAGCCCGAAAAACCGGGCAACAAAAACCTGGGCAACAATCCGGGCAGCAAAGTCTGGTCAAAGAATAGGATTCCTGCTTTTGAAGTCGTCCGTCCCCAAACCATCGTATTTTTCCCCACCTGACAGGAAGGGGTTGTTAGATTTATGTTGGAATCCGCGTTCACCACGCCCCCACCCATTATCCCGCCAGAGCAGCTCGCCAGTGGAACCCGCCGAGTATCCCGCCAGAGCAGCTCGCCAGTGGATCCCGCTGAGTATCCCGCCAGAGCAGCTCGCCAGTGGATCCCGCCGAGTATCCTGCCAAAGCTGATCAGTGGATCCCGCCCAGTATCCCGCCAGAGCTGATCAGTGGATCCCGCCCAGTATCCCGCCAGAGCGGCTCGCCAGTGGATTGCGAGTATCCCGCCAGAGCGGCTCGCCAGTGGATCCCGAGTATCCCGCCAGAGCGGCTCGCCAGTGGATCCCGTGGATGCCGCCGAGTATCCCGCCAGAGCGTCTCGCCAGTGGATCCTGCCAAGTATAACGCCAGAGCAGCCCGCCAGTGGATCCCACCGAGTATCCCGTTGAGTATCCCAGAGTAGCGAGCATCCCGCCAGCCAGTGGATCCCGCCGAGTATCCCACCAGAGCTGCCCGCCAGTGGCCGCCGAGTTTCCGCTGAGTATCCCAGAGTAGTATCCGGCCAGTATCGAGCCGGAGCGGCTCGCCAGTATTCGTCAGTGGACCCCGCCAGTATCCCGCCGCGGCAGCTTGCCATTGCTTAATGTCCAAAAGGGCCGGTGGGAATTTGGAGTCGAAGTCTCTAGGATGCGGAGGAATTTGTTGTAACGGTCAGAAGCTCGTGAGTGTGGAGGGTGGGGGTTGCTCGAAGCGAAGTAATTTATTAAAAGCCAATCCTAAAAACAAACAAGGCCAAATAGTCACGCAAAGGGCATACCCCGCAAGAGGCCCTGATTCTTTTTAGTCTGACTGTTTCGTGGTTCGCATTAATGTCCAGCTTTTGTGGCGGGGTTGGGATCCCGCATCACAACCTTGGCCTTTAGTTTTAAAGGGTGGTCAGCTCCAAGGTCAAAGCCTTCCCGATACTAAATGTAGACATGGCAATACCAAATTAAGCTAAGTACGGGGAATCTGTGAGTAACTCTGCGCAACTCGAAGTTTAGATATGGCAATGCTAAAGTAAGTACTGGCAAGTCGAAGTGGTGACTGGTGTTAATTCCAATATAAACATCAAGCATGTGTGGCTTACTCGTCTTGAAAGCACACACCTTGAAGACTGCGAGGGGAGGGTGCTCGGCAACTTGCACTTTTCCTGCAGCTTTCAGCTACGGACATCTATGGGTTGATTTTTGTGCAGTTTTCTCAGGTGTTTCTCTTTCTGCAAAGGATCCTTGGAACGGACGGGGAAGTTACCAGAAAGGAGAGAGCAGCGTGCTATTGTCAAAAGTCAGCTGACTCTGCTGCACTACTTTACCAGGCAGACAAGAAACTACTTGCTTGGTTGGCTGGTTGGTTGCTTGGTTGGTTGGTTGGTTGGTTGGTTGGTGGGTGGGTGTTTCTTCAGTGTGTTGCAGATTGTCCGTGGCTCAGAATCGTGCTTTCCCTACGTGCCCTGCGTCAGGTGGCTTTTGCCTTTGGATGTGCGAAAGATGACGCCGGAGCCCCGGCGGCGTCTTGGGTTTTGACTCTGTGTGTTTATGCCCCTGTTGCAAAAAGGTGTGCATGCGCGCATTCCCGTTGCAAAGCGGGTTATCCCTCGGCGCGAGTCATTGAAGGTAATGCTGCGAGACCAGAACGAAATTGATTTGAACCCGTGATGAGAAATATTTTAGTGGGACCACGTCCCCATTTTGGGGTTCCATATTGCTTTTTAGTGAGTTAGTCGGCACTGAAAGAGATTGAAACGATGGCGACCTTCACAGCAACAAGCTGCTCGCATGGCCGCGGCAAAGATTTACGAACATGACTCATGCTCTCAAGTTCCATGTGCAATACTGAGTGGAGTCCTTGCCCAAACGTCTTCATTGCCGATTGATTACCAAGTGTGGGGGCAGTGTCAAAGTGAATTGCATGCTGTCAACGGTGAATTTATGTTTTTGATTACAAAGAGAAACACTAGTAGCACGAGCAAGGGGCTACATGCTGGACACCGCGCTGCAGGGACCCCTCCTAAATGTCCAGCCAGACTGTGTAACTGCAATGCATAACGCTCCGGATTTGGGCAGAAATGATGCCATCCACTGGCAGCTGGGTTTGGCTTTGCTTGTATTGGGGTACATCGATATTGCATTTTTGCTGGGTTTGGCTTTGCTCCAATCACAAAACACCGGTGAATCATGTTTTTGTTGTTTTTTTCCAGTGGGAGGTTCCTCATTGCGGTAATCTCGCTTTGGCTTCAGCTGAAGAACTTCAGTTACAATGCTTCGGTTAGACAGCTAGGGCGGTCCTTACAGGGACGTTATAACACCCATGACGCATCGTGTTCTAGGAATTGAACCCTTGCAATTCCCCTCTTTAACGCCATTTAAACAGGGGTGTTCTAAGTTACACGTTTTGTGTCTCAGATTCGTGTCTGGCCATTTTGAGTACGGTTAAAAAAACCTTCCTGCGCCATGAAGGTGGATGTGCACTTGCCCAGCGGAGATGGTTGCTCCATCTCACTCCCAGCAAAAAGGCCAATCAGCGAACTGAAAGCTACAGCGCAGCAGCATTTCCAGCGCCGCTTGAAGCTCACTGTGAAAGGCCAGCAGCTTGATTTGACTTCCACGCTGCATGAGTCTGGGTTGCGAGATGGAGACGTGGTGTCTGCGGTTCTGCAGCTTGGCAAACTGGCTACCACTGGTGTGTCGTTTGCTTGGCATGGCCATGGGGGCGAGGTTGTGACCTGGGGCAATCCAGAATATGGCGGAGACAGCAGTCATGTCCAAGAGCAGCTGAGGAACGTCCAGCACATCCAAGCAAATGGCGGAGCTCTTGCTGCCATTCTGGAATCAGGGTCCGTTGTGACCTGGGGTCATCCAGAGCACGGTGGAGACAGCAGCCAGGTGCAAGAGCAGCTGAGGAAAGTCCAGTGCATCCAAGCAAATTTTAGTTCTTTTGCTGCCATTCTTGAGTCTGAGGCTGTTGTGACATGGGGTCATCCAAAACACGGCGGAGACAGCAGCAAGGTGCAAGAGCAGCTGAGGAACGTCCAGCGCATCCAAGCAACTGAGAATGGTAGGGCGTTTGCTGCCTTACTTGAATCTGGGGCTGTTGTGACCTGGGGTGATCCAGACTGGGGCGGAGACAGCGGCCACGTGCAAGAGCAGCTGAGGAGCGTTCAGCATATCCAAGCAACTGGCGGTGCTGTTGCTGCCATTCTTGAATCCGGTTCGGTTGTGACCTGGGGTGATCCAAACTATGGCGGAGACAGCAGCCATGTCCAAGAGCAGCTCAGGAACGTCCAGAGCATCCAATCAACAATTAGTGCTTTTGCTGCCATTCTTGAATCTGGGGCTGTTGTGACCTGGGGTGAACCAGAACACGGCGGAGACAGCAGCGAGGTGCAAGAGCAGCTGAGGAACGTCCAGCGCATCCAAGCAACTGGCTGGGCTTTTGCTGCCATTCTTGAATCTGGGACTGTTGTGACCTGGGGCGAGCCAGATTACGGAGGAGACAGCAGCGAAGTGCAAGAGCAGCTGAGAAATGTCCAGCACATCCAGGCAAGCAATCAGGCGTTTGCTGCCATTCTTCAATCTGGGGCTGTTGTGACCTGGGGTGATCCAGAGTCTGGTGGAGACAGCGACCACGTGCAAGAGCAGCTGAGGAACGTCCAGCACGTCCAAGCAACTGACCGTGCTTTTGCTGCCATTCTGGAATCTGGGGCTGTTGTGACCTGGGGCGATCCAGGCTGGGGCGGAGACAGCAGCCATGTCCAAGAGCAGCTCAGGAACGTCCAGAGCATCCAATCAACAAAAAGTGCTTTTGCTGCCATTCTTGAATCTGGGGCTGTTGTGACCTGGGGTAGTCGAGGAGGTGGCGGAGACAGCAGCCAGGTGCACGAGCAACTGAGCTTGTAATCTGGCTCTGCTTCAACCTGGACGGCGCATACGGCGCTGAAAGCATTGGAGCAAGACGTTGCTTAGAGTGAGGTTTTGAAGTGAGACCACCAGTTCGAGGCAAAGGAGCTATGAGTTTATAATTCTATTTACCAAAGGCGAGGAAGCAACCGATTTGAGGAAAACAACAACCGATTCATAATGTAGGTTGTCTTGTTGGGGACTGATAGATCAGAATTCTCCTTTTTGTCTAAAATGGTCCTGGCCCCCAAAAAGGTTTCTCCTGTTGGTCCTAATCATTCCATCGCGAGCTCAGCGATTCGATGTAGGTCCTGTCTTTCGGGATACCTGGTTTCAGGTTCCAGTAGGCAGGGAATGTGGGGATGAACCCAGGGATTCGCTTAAAGGAAATCACTTGTGGGATGGTTTATAAAGGGTCATTCCAACTCATTCCCTTCTGAGCACCAGTAAGAACATGGTTTCCTTTTTCGCTCCCAGAAAGAAACGTGTCCAAGTCTTTGTTTATCGGGGGAATGGGGTTGGAGGTTATCCTAAACCCAATTCACGTCATGACGCAATGGGGCTAA